GCTGTGATTTTAAGCACGTCGCAAGGCCTCTCCAAGCCTCTATATGCTTCGTGCAAATAATAAATTTTAAAAAATAATAATGGCTTAGTGTTTTATAACGACTAAACACAGTCTTGTAGGTAGATGTGCCTGGAACACTGTCCATTGATTCCGATATACGAAAGCATAAAAATAATCATAGCTATCATTTATTGAGCCCTTACTCTCTGCCAGGCATTATGCTAAGTAGTTTACACAGGTTACCTCATTTGACCCTCACCACCCTAGGAAGAAAATATTTTGTCACCATTTTATAGGTCAGTAAACTCATTTTCAGAGAGGTTAAGAAACTTGCCCAATATTACACAGATAGTAAGTGTCAAAGCCAGATCTCAAACATGCTGGTCTGACTCTAGAGACCATTTAACCACTAAAACATCTTTGCCTCTGCTGTGTTAGTGATCTCTCTGTGCCCCGTGGTGCCTGACACATTATAGATGCTCCGTGTTTCTGAAATATGTCTATTTATTAAAAGCTGAGCATAGTGCCTGGCCCAGGAGCCTAAGAAACTTGACCAAGTCATGCAACTATTAAGTTTTCGGACCAGGATTTGAACACAAACAGTTTGGCTCTAGAGTCTATGCTTTTTAACCATAATTCTGGGCTGAATGAATAATTGCAATCCTTCTTTATCTTCCTCTTTGAATCAAATGATGCTTTGTCACTAAATATTCTATGTTTCAAGAGTCACCAGGACATTCTGATATAGCATGAAGGTATGATAACACAGGAGAGGGAGCAAGAAGAGGTCAAGGCTAGGGGAAAGGACATTGGGGCCATACCTTGAGCCGCTGCTGGGATGTTTTATTAGGATTTTTTATTAGGATTGTGACAAATGTACAGATAAGTACAGACAAAATTAATGATCATCTCTACTTAGATTTTCTTTTATGTTTCTTAATAGTACTGTATAGTTTTTATCCTATAAGTCCTATTCGAATGTTTTACATTTTTCTGGACATTTCATGGGTTTTTTTGGTGGCTATAAAGAATGAAATTTTCTTCTACCATATTTTCTAATAATTATATCTAGGAAAATTAATAATCTTATGTATTAATACCTTAAATTATTATTTATATACACTAATTTAGTTTATTTTATACAAATTATAATTACATACCATTCTGTTCTGTGGATCTGCAATAATTTTTTCAACCATTCTTACCAGTGGGTCTTCACCTGTTTCCTTTTTTTGTAGGGGCGGGAGGGCGACGAAGTTTTGCTCTGTTGCCCAGGCTGGAATGCAGTAGTGTGATCTTGGCTACTGCAATCTCTGCCTCCCAGGTTCAAGCAATTATCCTGCCTCGGCCTCCTGAGTAGCAGATCACAGGCACCTGCCACGATGCCCAGCTAATTTTTGCATTTTTAGTAGAGCCAGGTTTCACGTGGGCCAGGCTGGTCTCCAACTCCTGACCTCAGGTGATCCGCGTGCCTCAGCCTCCCAAAGTGCTGGTATTACAGGTGTGAGCTACCACACCTGGCCTTCACCTGTTTCTATTTTTTTGGTATTATAAACAATGCTGCAGTGAATATCCTTGTACATATATACTAGCACACTCATGCTTTTATTTCTGTAAGCTATAGCCTAAGGGACAGGGTATGTGCATTTGAAATGTTCCCCCAAAGCTCCATAACAATGTATAGTTCTACCTAGAGTGAATGATTGCACCTATTTCTTCTTACCCTTACCAAACTTTGATTTATCAATCTTTTAAATTTTTGTTCATTTAACAGGCGGTAATTCTGAAATTCTGAACTCTGAATTTTTAATTTGTACTTCCCTGAATACTTGTAAAACTAAAAAACTTTTTATTCCATTTCCTCTTTTGTGAACTGCCTATTCAGATACTCTATCTTTTATTGTTTTTAATAATTCTTAAGTTTCTCGGGTTTTCCAGATGTAAGTTATATCACATATAAATAGTAATAAATTTGCCTTAAGACTTCCAATATTTATACCCTTTGCTTTATTTTCTTGTCTAAATGTAATGGCAAACACTTCCATTACACTGTCCAAATAGAACAATGTAAAATAACAGAAATAATAGGAAGCATCTCTGCCTTAAATTATCCTATATTTTACCATTAAATATGATGTTGAAATTTTATTTGAGATATACATTTCTCCATTATATTGAATAGTTTTCATCCATTACCATTTTACTTAGGATTTTAGTGGGAATTAATGTAAGACTTTATCAGAAGGTAATATTGACTTTCTTTTTTGATCCAGTAGTATGTTAATTAATAATTTCCTAATATTAAATCATCCAAGAATTTCTAAAAATGAAACCTCATTCCATTTGTCATGGTGTGTTATATTTTTAATATCTTGTAGGACTGGTTAATTTTTGTGTGTGTGTTATTTTTTTTTTTGGCTTTCTTGAGACAGGGTCTCACTGTCAACCAGGCCAGAGTGCAGTGAAGATCATACCTCACTGCATCTGTGAACTCCTGGGCTCCTCCCACCTCAGCCTCTTGAGAAGCTGGGACTACAGGTATGCACCACCACACCTGGCTAATTTTTGTATTTTTTGTAAAGACAGGGTCTCACCTTGTTGCCCAGGCTGGTCTCAAACTCCTGGGCTCAAGCGATCCTCCCGCCTCAGCCTCCCAAAGTGTTGGGATTATAGGCATGAGCCACCACACCTGGGCCTTTCCATTTTTAAAAATTTAAATAAAATATTATAAAACAGAATACAGCAGCATATGAAAAGAATAACATACTAGGCTGGGCGTGGTGGTTCACGCCTGTAATTCCAGCATGTTGAGAGGCCAGGGCGGGTGGATCACGAGGTCAGGAGTTCAAGATCACCCCGGCCAAGATGGTGAAACCCCGTCTGTACCAAAAATACAAAAATTAGGCGAGTGCAGTGGCAGGTGCCTGTAATCCCAGGTACTTGGGAGGCTGAGGCAGGAGAATCGCTTGAACCTGGGAGGTGGAGGTTGCAGTAAGCCGAGATCGTGCCACTGCACTCCAGCCTGGGCGACTGAGACTCTGTCTCAAAAGAAAAGAATAACATACTATGACCAAATGGTTTCAGTTTTTGTTTGTTTGTCTGGGACTGCAAAGATGTATCAATTTTAGGAAATCTATTAATGTAGATCACCATCTTAATATATCTTAAAGAAAAATAATATCATTTTAGTTGATACTTAAAGGCAATTAATAAAACATTCACATCCATCCTTGACATTTTAAAACTCTTAATAAAATAGAAATAATGTATATTCCTTAACACAATGAAATACATCTCATTCTCAAAGCTACTATAATACTTAAAAAGGAAACATTTAAGCATCCCCCATTAAACTTAGAAAAAAGACACACATTCATTATTACCATTATTATTTAATATTTTTCTGGAGACATTAACCAACACAATTAGAAGAAATCAGAGATATAAAACAGAAAAAGAATTATCATTATTTACACATAATATGATTGCATGACTGGAAAATCCAAGAGAATCAACTGAAAAATGATAGAATTAAGGGAGGGGAGCTGGATATGAAATTAGTATCTAGTAAAAAAATAGCCTTTCATATATGAACAACAATGAAAAATTAAAAGATATAATGAAAAAATAAGTTAAAAGATACAATGAGTGGAAACAACAGATGCTGGAGAGGATGTGGAGAAATAGGAATGCTTTTACACTGTTGATGGGAGTGTGAATTAGTTCACCCATTGTGGAAGACAGTGTGGGGATTCCTCAAGGATCAAGAACTAGAAATACCATTTGACCCAGCCATTTCATTACTGGCCATATACCCAAAGGATTATAAATCATTCTATGATAAAGATGCACACGTATGTTTATTGTGGCACTATTCACAATAGCAAAGACTGGGAACCAACCCAAATGTCCATCAGTGACAGATTGGATTAAGAAAATGTGGCACATATACACCATGGAATACTATGCAGCCATAAAAGGATGAGTTAATGTCCTTTGCAAGGACATAGATGAAGCTGGAAACCATCATTCTAAGCAAACTTCATAAGGACAGAAAACCAAATACTGCATGTTCTCACTCATAAGTGGGAATTGAACAATGAGAACACATGGACACAGGGCGGGGCACATCACACACTAGGGCCAGTTGGGGGGTGGGGGCTGGGGGAGGGATAGCATTAGGAGAAATACCTAATGTAAATGACAAGTTGATGGGTGCAGCACACCAACATGGCACATTTATACCTAAGTAACAAACCTGCATAAGGTGCACATATACCCTAGAACTTAAAGTATATATATAAAAAAAAGATATAATGGGTAAAAGATGACATTTTCAATAGTGAAAAAGAATATGAATTACTCAAGAAACAAACTTAGCTAAGAAATGGACAACGACTTTATGAAGAAAACTTCTATACATACCTGAGACACATATATTTGAAAAATGAGTATCACATTCTCGGATCAAAAGAATCAGTGTCACAACAAATTCAGTTCTCCCTAAGTTAAAATATAAATTGAACATATCCCAATTTTTTAAAATACCAACAGGACTTTTTCTTGGTGGTACACACAGTAGGAAAGGCGAGACTAGACAAGCCGACTATAAAAATCAGAAAAATAAATTTATAGAAAAATTCTTGTTTTCCCCTTTTGAATTTTAAATGCTGTGAATGTAATTACCTATTCAAAAGTTATAAACTACAAAACTTTATATTTTTAAAACATATACACACAGAGAAGATTTTTTAAAATAAAAATACATTTATTTTATATACATAATTGCAATTTGCCCTTTTTGACCTAATGATATATCATGAATATCCCTCCAGGCCCATATTTATAGAAGTATCTCATTCTTTTAATATATATAATATTTTATTGCATAGATTCATGGAAACTTATTAAACCATTTCCCTATTGATGAAATTCAGGTGTTCGTTTTTCTTCAGTTTGTTTATTTTGAAACAGGGGTAATTTTTCTTAGCCAGGATTAGAAGGCATAACTATAAAAAATAAAACATAAAAATGTTGAAGGAAAATTATAGCCTCAATTGGAGGGAAACTTTTCTAAACAATGCAGGAAACCCAGACAACTTAAAGGAAAATATGATTAGGTATGTTGTATTTAATTACATACAATGTAAATTTTCCTTGTGAAAAAAAAGCATCATAAACAAAGAGAAGAGACAAACAACAAATTGGGAGAAAGTATTTGCCTAAAGAAATGGCAGATGGGTTAATATCTCTAATATAGAGAAAGTTCCTAAAAGTTGAGTTAAGAAATATAAAGAATATGAACACACACAATTCATAGACAAGGGAATACTAATGACCAATAAGCATATGAAAAGATCCTCAACCTCACTAATCATGGAAATGCAACATAAAACAAATCTAATTTTTCATCTGTCAGATTGGCAAACATTTTAAAGTACAGATAATACTCAGAGCTGGCAAGGGCACAAGGAAATGTACACTATTAAGCATTCTTGGTGAACATCTGATTCTCAACAGTCTTTTTGGAGAGCAATCTGTTTATAGTAGAAAAAAGTTTTAATCCTCATATTCTTTGACCCAGCAATCCAATTTAACTTAAAATATATACATATATATATATAAGAAAACAGCCCTACTGTCTCCCTACATCTCTCCCTCCCCTGCCCTCCCAGTATATCTCACTTGGTTTACCACCTCAATTCCCAGCCAGTTGGACTCTAATGCCCAAGCCCTCCTCTACCTCTATCATACTCTAGCCAATCAAAGCTAGTGCCTGGGATGGGGAGATGGTCTTGGAGCCCTGGAAGGCTTTGTCTAGTGGGTCCCCCTGTGCTTTCAGGAGACTGAAGCCAAGGATACCAGCAGAGCCAACATTTGCTTCAAGTTCCTGGGCCTGCTGACAGCGTGCAGGATGCTGATGGAAACTGGCAGAGGCTGCTGTGCCCTGGCCATCCTGCTGGCAATTGTGGACATCCAGTCCGGTGGTGAGGATAGGCCCTAGGGCAGAGACGGCCATGGGGAGGATCCTGGGCTTGTGGGAAGGGCTGGATCCCATGATTTTCTCTGATGGGGAAACAAAGGACTCACTTTTTTTTTTGAGGGAGTCTCACTCTGTCACCCAGGCTGGAGTGCAATGGTGCGATCTCGGCTCACTGCAACCTCCGCCTCCTGGGTTCAAGCAATTCTCCTGGCTCAGCTTCCTGAGTAGCTGGGACTACAGGCATATGCCGCCATGCTCGGCTAATTTTTGTATTTTTAGTAGAGACGGGGTTTCATCATATTGGTCAGGCTGGTCTCGAACTCCTGCCTGACCTCAGGTGATCCTCAGGAGCCCGGCTGACTCACTGTTCTTGACATTAAGGAAAGGGTAAAAAATATAGTGTCTTTTTCTTTTTTGTTAGAACTGATACTACTGCCTCTCTGTAAGACATTCTGCCTCTGCTACATGTTTCAAAGAGCCTGGTAATCTGTGCCTCAACCTAAGATTCCTTTAAGTTCCTATATACTATAAATTTATGAAATCCAGGTTTGAGATCCAGATACTGCAATCTTCATTAACTTCAGTGCCTAGTTTAACCACTCTGCCTCAATTTGTGTATTTATAAAACGGGAACAGTAACACCTGTCTCTACGGCTATACTGAGGATTTGATATATAGAAAAGCACTCTAATAGAGACCCTATAGAAGTTCCAGCTGGAAAGTAGAAATAAAACATAAACCATTTTGGAGTTAATCAATGGCTGGGATTGCAAGTCTCCCTCAGATACAGGTCTTATAAGACCCATATCTCTTACTCTTGTAAGAGAATTGCATTTAATATGTAGGGGGAAGCCTCCATCTGTGCCTCTTCACCATTTTCATGTGAGTGAATTTAGTTTACTGTGTATACCAAGAGGAGTCTTACAAGGAAAAGCAAGTCATAGGGGATCAAGCTGCCAAGGGAGTGGGGCTGGCAGCCTCAGCATCTGCCTGATGAGTTTTTAGCAGAGCGCTGGATGTAACCAAGGTTGGGGTTTTGCAAGGATCCGTCATAGCAGGAGTAAAGCTAAGGGAGCTGAGGGTGGATATAAGGGAGAGATTATAGTAATGGACTACAAAATATAAACTACAGAAGGAAGTGAATTTTGAGGAGAGTGAGGGGCAGTACAAAGTTGGCAGGGCCAACGCACTGGAAAATTAGGTCAGACACCCATTGAGCCGAAACATCCTGGGTTAACCCAACTATTTTCTCCACTTCTGTATCTAGGTTACAGATTACTTACAGGGAAAATCATCAAGTCGGCAGATTGGCACCATCAGAGTCATGGTCTTTGGCTACCAATGGTCCCTCAATAATTAGTCTGTTTCTCCAGTCCATTCTCACTCCATTTCCGCACAGTGACTGTTTTTAATCATCTCTGGTATTTCTGTGGTCTCTCTCATCCTGTATCTCTTAGAAAAACTTTTACTCTTCCTTCAAGTCTCAGCTCCAGCACTAAATTCACTGTGAAGTTTTCCTGATTCTTCAGTCTCAGGAATCTCTAAGATTCCTCAATTATAATAACTGTGGAATTAAATTGTAATTTTTTGCTAATCTGTTTTTACATTAGGCTTTAAACTCTGAGAGTGGCCAGGCACGGTGGTTCATGCCTGTGATCCCAGCAGTTTGGGAGGCAGAGGCAGGAAGGTCGCTTGATGCCTGGAGTTCAAGACCAGCCTGGACAACATAGTGAGAATCTGTCTCTACAACACAAAAAATTAGCCAGGCATAGTGGTGCATACCTGTAGTGTTAGCTATTCGGAAGGTGGAAGCGGGAGGATTGCCTGAGCCCAGGAGTTCAAAGGTGCAGTGAGTTACAATTATGCCACTGCACTCCAGCCTGGGTGACAGAGCAAGACCTTGTTTAAAAAAATTTTTTTTAAATTAAAAATCCCCGGTCATCTAATGGTTAGGAAAAAAAAAAAGGTCTGACAGTGGGACTCATGTCCTAGTCATCATTGCCCCAGCAGGGCTTGGCAGGGTGAATACCTAAACATATTTGTTAAGTGGAGGAACAAATAAACCTATGAATTAATGGATGCTTTGAGCATATTATTTAGTCCCTTAATTTTCATTCTCCAGATGAATAAACTACTGCCCAAGGAGTTAGGTAACTTGCTTACAGTCACACAGCCATCGATAGAGCTGTAATTTGTATTTCCTGTCTGCCAGCACGGCTGCCAGGTTCTGCTTCAGTCCTTCCTTGAAGACTTCTAGTGATAAGGAGAAGTAATGGTGAAATTCAAAGAACACTACCTGACCTCTGGGTAATTCTTCCCTTTCCATTCCAGGATGCATTAACATCACCAGCTCAGCTTCCCAGGAAGGAACACAACTAAACTTCATCTGTACTGTGTGGCATAAGAAAGAAGAGGCTGAGGGGTTGGTAGTGTTTTTGTGCAAGGACAAGTCTGGAGACTGTTTTCCTGAGACCAGTTTAAAACAGCTGAGACTTAAAAGGGATCCTGGGATAGATGGTGGTGTTGGTGAAATATCATCTGAGTTAGTGTTCACCATAAGCCAAGTCACACCGTCACACAGTGGGACCTACCAGTGTTGTGCCACAAGCCAGAAGTCAGGTATCCGCCTTCAGGGCCATTTCTTCTCCCTTCTAGTCACAGGTGAGTCTCTAATACCCCTAATGTCACCAGGTGGGACACTGAGCAGAGCTGACAGCTGGTGATGTAACCAGATGGTTCAGGTCCTGGATAGGCAGTTTCCTTCTTCCTCAATCCTTTTCCAACATTCCCATTGGCAGATGCTGCCTTTCTTCAACGTGCACATACAAACATAAACTCATTTTGTCTTTAATTTTAAAACTCTTACCGGGGTGGCTATCGCATTTTTATTGACAGGGAGATGGTGACACAGGGGTTGAAGAGATTTGTCCAATGCTACTCACTGACCGGTGAAAGTAAAAACAGATAGAAATTAGGCCTCCTGGCCAGGCACGGTGGCTTACGCCTATAAACCCAGCACTTTGGGAGGCTGAGGTGGGAGGATCACCTGAAGTCGGGAGTTCAAGACCAGCCTAGCCAACATGGAGAAACCCCATCTCTACAAAAAATACAAAATTAGCCGGGTGTGGTGGCGCATGCCTGTAATCTCAGCTACTCGGGAGGCTGAGGCAGGAGAATCGCTTGAACGTGGGAGGCGGAGGTTGCAGTTAGCTGAGATCGCACCATTGCACTCTAGCTTGGGCAACTACAGTGAAACTCCGTCTCAAAAAAAAAAAAAAAAAAAGAAAAAGAAAAGAAAAAAAGAAATAAATTAGGTCTCCTGATTCCCAATTCAGAACTCTCCCAGAAATGCGGCTATATTTCTAAATTCAGGCAGACAAAGAGATTAGGTTTGAGATAAGATGAGTATCTGTCTTAAGGAGCATTTAGTTGGAAGAAACAGAAACCCATTCAAGGTACCACAGATTAGAGGAGGAAAAAATAAAGCAAAAAGTACAGCTGGCCCTCATGAGCTCTAGCTCCTGGAATCAGAAACTAGAAAGGGGACAGGACGCAAAACAGTTACCATTTCAAACTCTGAGGCGGCAAGGCCTCTGGCTTCTGCATCTGTCTTTTTCACTCTGTGCATGCTCCCCCGGCTCCATTACTACTTTGGCATGTCCTAAATATGGCCACTCCAGCCCCAGCTTTATGTAGCTTCCTTAAGTCAAACTGTGCCCAACAGAAAGTGTCTGTGTTCCTATATTCCCAGACAACAGAGCAAGCCTCCACAATTCTGTGAGAAAAAAAAAAGTTTACCTGGCTGGGCTCTGTGGCTCACGCCGGTAATCCCAGCACTTAGGGAGGCCGAGGCAGGCGGATCACGAGGTCAGGAGTTTGAGAGCAGCCTGGCCAATATGGTGAAACTCCATCTCTACTAAAAATAGAAAAAACAAAATTAGCCAAGCATGGTGGCACACACCTGTAGTCCCAGCTACTTGGGAGGCTGAGGCAAAAGAATCGCTTGAACCCGGGAGGTGGAGGTTGCAGTGAGTTGTGACTGCGCCACTGCACTCCAGCCTGGGCGACAGAGCGAGACTCCGTCTCAAAAAAAAAAAAAAAAGTTTACCTTGAATTATATATTCAGCCAAACTATAAACCAAATGTAAGGAAAGAAAAAAGATACTATCACGAGATGCAACGACTCAAAAAAAATTTGCCTTCCATGTGATCTTTTCAAAGAAGCGACCAGAGGATGTGCTTCAGTAAAACAAGAAAGTGAATCCGTAAAGGAGATAAAATGAGATACAGGAAACAAGGAATCTAACAGAGAAAAGGAAATTCTAAGTTGGACACAGTGGCTCATGCCTGTAATCCCAGCACTTTTGGAGGCCAAGGTGGGAGGATCACTTGAGCCCAGGAGTTAGAGAAAAGCCTAGGCAACATAGGGAGACGCCATCTCTAGTGGAAAAGAAAAAAAAAAAGGAAATTCTAGAATTTAAAAAGGGCACTTAGTCCAGAAGAGAGCAAGAGAAAGAAGACTCTGGAAGGGAAATCTCTAGGAGGTAAAAATGGAACTGACAGATCATCTTTCTAAAGGCCCATTAAAGACCTGATAAAAGGATTAAAGAAATGGATATGGAAAACTCTGCCAGTAAAAAAATAAAATCAGGCTCTAGAAAAAACTAAATTTTACAAAAGAAACACAGCACACAACTTGATTCTGCAAAAAATAACACAAAATCCAAATTATGTAAACATGACTAATTTAAATAAAATTTGTGATACAATTATTTTTGCAAGAATGCAGAGAAGGAAAATGGGTAAAAGTATAACCTTCATCTACTATAGCAGAAAGCCAACAGAAAATGTCTACATTTTATCACTAGGAAGCAGCAATATGAGCATATTATTTAGGAATATAAGACATCTTGAAGAGTTGGCAGTGGTTGTCTCAGACAATAAGCCTAGGAGGATAAAAGGGCACTGCTATTATTCTCTAAGAACTTACAACTACTTTACTTTTTTTTTTTTTTTGAGACGGACTCTCACTCTGTGGCCCAAGCTGGAGAGCAGTGGCATGATCTTGGCTCACTCCTAGGTTCAAGTGATTCTCCTGCCTCAGCCTCCCAAATAGCTGGCACACGCCACCACCCTCAGCTAATTTTTTTGTATTTTTAGTTGAGACGGGGTTTTGCCATGTTGGCCAGGCTGGCCTCGAACTCCTGACCTCAGGTGATCTGTCCGCCTCAGCCTCCCAAAGTACTAGGATTACAGGTGTGAGCCACCGTGCCTGGCCTATCTTACTTTTAAAGAAAAATAAATATAAATTACCCACTTACCACCACCCTCCCCCCATGAAAAACTGGCCCAGAGCCTTTGAACAAATGTTTTTAATCACCTCCTATGGTTCCTAGTTAATTCAAATGTTCAACTTGTTTAGTTTGATTGACTTTCTTCCTTGCTTCCTGGTGTCTTCCTGTCTGACCTAGCTACAGCATTCAGCACTTCTGACTATTCCCTCCTTCATCAAAGTGTCATCTCTAGTGGTTTCTGTGACTGTACTCAAGTGGTTCTCTACCAGCTTGGCTGTTCTTTTGTCTTCTCTATTTCCTCCTCCCACCTCTCAAACATGAGTATTCATTCCCCAAGACTCACTTCTCATCACTTCAACCTTTTCTCTTTACTCTCTCCCCCCAGTTCTCATCTACCCGATTTAAACCAGCATCTCAATGCAATTGACCATCAAATCCACTTCTCCAGTTCAAACCTCTTTCCTAAGTTTTAATTAAACGTTTAAACTAACAACTGTACTCCTAGCTCCTAGATGCCCCACCATTTCCTCAAACTCAGTACCAAAGCTATCCTCCTGAGACCCTGTTTCTGTTCATGACTGAAGTCAACTTTGGTTCCTCCTTTTTTCTTAACCCCCAATTCAGAGAGTTACTAAGTACTACTGTTCTTCTGCACAGCAGTACTTTGTTATTCCTTTCCTTCCAAAGGTGTTTTTCAGGTCTTCATCATCTCACACTTAACATATTCCAATAGTCTCCTAACTAGTGAGTCCCCTGAGTTCAGCAACTGTGCCCTACTCACCTTTATATCTCCCACACCTACCACAGGGCCTAGCACCGAGCTGTTGCCTAATAAACGGTCCAGCAACTCTAAATACTGTTTCTGCCCCCACTCCATTCTACATACTGCCACCAGCTTGTCTTTCCAAAATGCTAATTTGTACATGCCACACCACTCAAAGTTTTAATGGCTTCTCACTGTCTATGGGATAAAGTCTAAATTACTATAGCCTGGCACTAGAGACTCTATAGCATTTCATTATATTTATGTGAATACATTGCTTCAGTTAAACTGCACTAGCAGATACTCCTCTTTCATTCATCCAACAAATATGTATTGTGCATCCCACGCCCAGCGCTGCGCCTTGGAGAACAGAATGAGGTACAACACAGTCCTTGCTCCTTATAACCTAAAATTCCTGTTCTAATATATTGTTTTGGTTGTGAAGATTCTCCCTAAGAAAGAATGCTTTTCTCATCTCAGCATATTTAAGTATTACAGTCAGCACATCTAGATGGTTCCCCAAATGTGGAAATTAGGTGCATTTTGGAAGGTAAAACTGGTTAAGAGGAGACAGGTAACAGATAATAAACAATGTCAGCTGGGTGCGGTGGCTCATGCCTGTAATCCCAGCACTTTGGGAGGCTGAGGCGGGCGGATCACTTGAGATCAGAAATTTGAGACAAGCATAGCTGACATAGTGAAATGCCATCTCTACTAAAAATGCAAAAATTAGCCGGGTGTGGTGGCACATGCCTGTAACCCCAGCTACTTGGGAGGCTGAGGCAAGAGAATCACTTGAATCCAGGAGGCAGAGGTTTCTGTGAGCTGAGATTGTGCCACTGCACTCCAGCCTGGGTGACAGAGCCAGACTCTGTCTCAAAAAAATAATAAAATAAAAAACAATGTCTGCCATTTACTTACTGTGGGCCAGGCATTGTGCTAAGTGATATTATATTATTTAAGATGCATGGTCTTTTGAGCTATTGTGCTGTGATAACTGAAGCTTGAAGATAATTTACGTTTATCCAACTAATGAATGGATAAAAATCCAGATCTAGGCCAGGTGCGGTGTCTCAAGCCTGTAACCCCAGCACTTAGGAAGGACAAGGCAGGTGCATCACCTGAACCCAGGAGTTCAAGACCAGCCTGAGCAACATAGTGAAAACCTGTCTCTACAAAAAATACAAAAATTGGCTGGGTGTGGTGGCACATGCCTGTAGTCCCAGCTACTAGGGAAGCTGAGGTGGGAGGATCGATTGGGCTTGGGGCTTGAGGCTTCAGTGAGCCATGATCACGCCACTGCACTCTAGCCTGGATGACAGAGCAAGACTCTGTCTCAAAAAACAGAAACCAAAACAAACAAACAAAAAAACCCCAGATCTATTCCAAAGGGCAAGATTTTAACTTATGCTAAATTGCTTGACCCACTCTAGAAAATGGGGCTATCTGGGGATACCCAAGTCCAAGGTAGCTAAGCTGTTTCAGCTATCTCTGTGGCAAAACTTCAGAATTACTTTAAGGTCTATCTGCATCCCCAGTGTCTGACACACAGGAGATTCTATACTTATTTATGGCTGCTTAAGTACATCATCATTACCCACAATGTTAAAGATACTTATCTGGGCAACAAATTATGGTGGGAGGAATCCTTGGAGATCATAAAAGAGATGTTATGAGATGATGCAAAAGGAGGTACTGATGATTTCTGAAACCCTCCCCTGATCCAAGATTCTCTTTTGAACCAGAGACAGGGAACTACACAGTGACGGGACTGAAACAAAGACAACACCTTGAGTTCAGCCATAGTGAAGGCACTCTCAGTTCAGGCTTCCTACAAGAAAAGGTCTGGGTAATGCTGGTCACCAGCCTCGTGGTCCTTCAAGGTACGTCCAAAAGAGCCGTAAGCACCCCAAGCAATGAGGGTGCTATTGTATTTCTGCCATCTTGCTTATTCTCCAGGAGGAGAAGGTTGGAAAGGAAGTCCAGAGGGAGAGGAAAATGTTACTCAAGCCCTGGTTATCCATAGGAAAGTTCAAACCAGTTTCACTGATCCAAAAGCACTAAAGAGGAAGACAGATAAATCAGACTTTCCAAAGGGTAGGAGGTAAGACTTATTAGGAAAGAAGGCCTGTGAGAGAGGCAAGTTAGTATAACCACCTCTACTCACTGCGTGAACAGAGGACTATAAGTTGAAGCAACAGATTCTTGACTATTAGAGGAAGAACAAGAGACAGACTTGGTTTGGAGATGGTTTTTTGTATTTTGTTTTTTTCAGATGGAGTCTCGCTGTGTCGCCCAGGCTGGAGTGCAGTGGCACAGTCTCGGCTCACTGCAAGCTCTGCCTCCCGGGTTCACGCCATTCTCCTGCCTCAGCCTCCAGAGTAGCTGGGACTACAGGCGCCTGCCACCGCACCCGGCTAATTTTTTTTTTTGCATTTTTTAGTAGAGATGGGGTTTTCACCATGGTCTCGATCTCCTGACCTCGTGATCCGCCCGCCTCGGCCTCCCAAAGTGCTGGGATTACAGGCGTGAGCCACTGTGCCCGGCCTGGAGATAGGTTTTTGAACATTGCAGCTCCCCAGCAAAGGCTGATGGCCAGATTGAGTATATTAAACACATGTAGCTGAGTCTTCTGAAAACCATTTACCAATATGGATTGGCGCTTTCCCTATTAGATAATAAAAGTGAAACTTCCAATAATTTGTCATTATGTTTTTGCATAATAAGCAACTGATTCAGGTTTTTGCCTGTCCTTGGCATTCTTAACTCCATTTTTTTTAGGCATTCCTCAAATCAATACCACTGTTTTGAGTGGCATCAGAATGTAAGCTCTATATATGTAAGGACTTTGTCTTCTTTACCCCAACAAAAAGTCCCACACATATAGCACGCTCTTAATAAATTTGTTAAAGAACCTGTATGATGAATCAGATGCTTTACACATGATGATTCTAACCTTATACAACCCTTGCAAGCAAACATCCCCTGGTTACTCATCAGGAAACAACATAAGGAAGTTAAATAGGGCCTGGTGCGGTGGCTCACGCCTGTAATCCCAGCTCGTTGGGAGGCTGAGGCAGGCAGATCCCTTGAGCCTAGGAGTTTGAGGCCAGTCTGGGCAACTCGGCGAAACCCCATCTATACAAATAAATAAAAACTTTGTCACACGTAGTGGCACACACACCTGTAGTCCCAGGCTAAGGCACAAGGATCACCTGAGCCCAGGTTGGTTCAGGTTGCAGTAAGCCATGTTCATGCCACTGTACTCTAGCCTGGGTGACAGACTGAGACACTTTCTCAAAGAAAAAAAAAAGTTGAATGTTGCCTGTCACAGCAATTAATACAGATCCTTCTCACTCTAAAACCTTACACTCAGTAATGACCTACTATAGGCAAAGCACCTCTTACCTCCTTTACCACCCCATTCATTGAGATTGACTCCTCCCCTTTCCAGAAACAGGACCACCTAAATATTCCCGATTCCAGTCCCTTATCTGCAAGTCATCAAAAGAAAACACAGATTTCAAAAAGGAAACACAGACTTTATCTGTAATCCTTGATAAGGATCTTCTAAATTTAAGCCTATGCCAGTTTTCAGGAGGAAACATGAATATGAAACAGTCTGACCATTTAGACATAATTTTTTATTGACTTTAAATTCTCTTGGTTAGGCTACTAGGCTACTGTAACCAGTAAAACACATTTTATTTTAGAATAAAAATTCTAAAAGGTAAATTGAGTCTAGCCATACAACCTACTACCAGTTACTATCTCTGATTCCCAAGTCATCCTAGAGAAAAAAAAAAAAAATCTGGACTTTTTTCCTTTTCCACTCAGGTGAAGAGAATGAGCTTTTTAATCCAATTTTTTGTTTTCTCCTGTATTCAATTCAAGTAGCTTTAAAGTTAACCAAAGGAAAAAAACCAAAGCTCAATATTTGATTAAACGAGAAAATATACACTACTTAGAAGCTTTCTTTTCTTTATCCTTCTCCCCCAACTCAAGGCTTAGTAGAATTATGGAAAGAGGTAGTATTCAGTAGAACAGTACACATGCTTTTTCAGGTCCAGAAACACCACATAGATCAAGTTATCATGCTTACATGTGGGGATGAGGAGGAGGGAGTTTCCTGGATCTCTGTGCCCTCTTAGCTCATGAAGCCAATTTCACTGAATATCCTTATCACTATGCCAACAATTCAGATCTATACATGGAAAACCTACCTTCAATTTTTTGAGTGGAATCTATTGCTTGATTATCCCTTCCAGCAAGGAGTGATCAAAGACTAGCTCCCTTCCCACTCCCACCACAATCAGATTTGCTCAAGATTACAATCCTAATTTAGTAATGTGCAATACATAAAATAGTTCCCACTTTCCTTTTCCAATCCCTTCACAGTCATGAGGGCCTATCAAACACACATCTCAGGACAGGTCAGACTTCATTATATCAGGTATTTTGTTGCTATTCTAAGTTATAAGGCAGTAATACAAACTTTCTTTTTCTTTCTACAGCTTTGTAAGCCTTGTGCCAAAAAAAAACTTTTTAAAAAAGCTACAGCAAGATGAGTCTGACTCTAGCTTAGTATGTTTCTCATTACAACAGGCACAGAGAAGAAAGCAATGGGGCATAGGGGAAGAGATGCTAAATATACCAAGAATCTGTGGAAATATAAGCTGGGGCAAATCAGTGTGATCCTTGATTTTGCTGCTCACCATCAGAGCAAACCTGCCTTCTTCCCTCCTAAGCTCCAGTAAATAAACAGAACAGTTTTCACCAAAGTGGCTGGTATAGTCCTCAAATATTGGATAAATATGTGCGTTTTTGTACCCCAGAACAATTTTTCCTCCCTCCTCCTCAACATAGTAAAATAAGTCAAACAAAATGAGAACACCAAATTTTGGGGGAATAATTTTTTATTTAACACTGTAAAGGAAAGAGAGAGAAAACAAGCAGAGATAGGTAGGACAGAAAGGAAGATAGCCAGACCCAGTGACTGACTTGGCATGAAAATGAGGAAATGCAGACAGACCTCAACATTCAAAAACATCCACACAGCACTGCTGGAGGAAGAGGAAGATCTGTGCAGACCAGGAGCACCACAGGCTACAACTGCCCAGCTTCAACTCAATGCTTGTTAACCTCTTTGGTCATTTCTCTTTTTAAATAAATGCCCATAGCAGTATGTGCAGTCTTTTCTTTTCTCCTAAATCCACAAACTCTCTTCTTTCTCTTTGGACAGACGACCTATTGTCATAGTTAAGCAGAGAGTGGGCAGGATATTCCTGATAGGAGGAACTACATGAATAAAGGGGTAAGAGCACAGAAATTTAGCTACAGCTCCATGGTGAGCCATTAAAAGGAAAGAGACACTTTACCTGTGCTCCTTGGCAACGACCTGCCAAATGTGGGAGCTACAGTTTGTGGGAACGGAGAGAGATATGGCTGAAGTAGACGAGTAAGACCCTTATTAGCGATAGTCCTGAACCTCAAACTAAGGATTTTAGACTTTGTATCCTATGGAGATAAAAGAACCAGCCATAGAGTCAAAAAGACCTGGATTCAAATTCTGGATCTGCAACATACCAGCTATTTGTCATTGGGCAAATGAATTTTTTTTTTTTTTTTTTTTTGAGACGGGAGTCTCACTCTGTTGCCCAGGCTGGAGTACAGTGGCACGATCTCGGCTCACTGCAACCTCCACCTCCCGGATTCAAGCAATTCTCCTGCCTCAGCCTCCCAAGTAGCTGGGATTACAGGCATGCACCACTATGCATGGTTAATTTTTGTGTTTTTAGTAGACGGGGTTTCACCATGTTGGCCAGGCTGGTCTCAAAATCCTGACCTCAAGTGATCCGCCTGCCTCAGCCTCCCAAAGTGCTGGGATTACAGGCGTGAGCCACCACGTCCAGTGCAAATGAGGTTTTGAGATGCTATTTCTGTTTACCTATCTGTAAAAAGGGATACTGCCAACTGTATCTTCTGTTTCCACAGGACTGTTCTGAGAATTAAATGAGAGTCTGGATTTGGAACCTAGAGCCATTTGAATTCTGACTCCAAAGTCTCCAAAGCCTTCTCCATTACATCACATTCACCTTAATCTTTCTCTACCTGTTTTATATATGTTAGTTCTGTGTTTCTAACTAACTAAATAAGCTCACATGGGTAGAGATGTCTTTTGTTTTTACTATTCAAAGAATCTTCTGGAGCTACTCAACATTATACAATCATTGGAAGTCTCAGAAAGAAGATATATCCAACTATATATAGGAAAGGTTTCAGCCATTGTACTATACTAATTATAGTCCACATATAAAAATCTGTGACACATAATCACAGAAAGGAAACATGATCACTGCCCAAGTTTATGAAGACATTTAAGAGCATTAGATTACTAGCTCTGACTCGAACTAAGCAGAATATATACAAAGCAATCATACTTTGTACATACCAACTGAGTCTTGCTTCTTAAGAGTTTATTTACTCTGCTTATCTCTCAATACTTGGTTAAACAGAAATTTAAAATACTTGTGTCTTGGCTTTCAAAATGTGTTGATAAACTGACTTCAAATAAGCCTACAATTTCCATGCATAACAGGTAGTTTTCTGGACACACATCTTAGCCCCAGTCTACGTGAGTGATTCACAACCATGGGTTTTGAACCTCTGTGAGGCCATGAGGTTATTAGAAGGAATCTATATAGCATAATCTTCAGCCTGAATAAATATCTTTCAAGTATTTGTATATACTATATTTCAATTGGATGTAAATTCTGGTGTGACTAATAAAGATACATTGACTTAGGCCCGGCGCGGTGGCTCAAGCCTGTAATCCCAGCACTTTGGGAGGCCGAGACGGGCAGATCACAAAGTCAGGAGATCGAGACCACCCTGGCTAACACGGTGAAACCCCGTCTCTACTAAAAATACAAAAAAACTAGCCGGGCGCGGTGGCGGGCACCTGTAGTCCCAGCTACTCGAGAAGCTGAGGTAGGAGAAGGGCGTGAACCCGGGAGGCAGAGCTTGCAGTGAGCTAATATCCGGCCACTGCACTCCAGCCTGGGCGACAGAGCAAGACTCTGTCTCAAAAAAAAAAGAAAAAAAAGATACATTGACTTAAAAAAAAAACTGAAATTATAGCAGCTTTTTGTTACATATTCTTTAATCAAAAATACTAATAAGATGGCTATCATGTTGTTGGAAGGAAATCTAATTATTTGGGGGTTTTTGTTTTGAGACAGGGTCTCTGTCGCCCTGGAGTGCAGTGGCACAATCTTGGCTCACTACAACCTCTGCCTCCTGGGTTCAGGCGATTCTCCCTCC